AAAAAAAAAAAAAAAGCAGGAAGGTCTAGAACTCCAAAAAAAAGTTCACCCAAGTTCACCGGATGCAAAGTGTGGAGCCAGTGAGGCACACAGGCCCCTGCTGGTACCTAGCACCAGGTCCAAACTATATAAAGAACTCTTACGGGCCGGCCAAGTGGCTCGTTAGTTAAGAGTTGGCTTGGGAGCACAAGCTCTGAGCAGCAAGGCCACTGGTTTGGATCCCACATGGGCCAGTGACACTGCCCTCTACAGCTAAGATGGTGAACAACAGCTCAACCTGGGGCTGGGCTGCCATGAGTTGCCGGCGATGCTGTAGGCTGCAGTGGGGCTGTAGTGGGCTGCCGTAAAGCTACCATGAGTGGCCGGCAGCCAGCGTGAGCCACCATGAGCGGCCATCCAATGGCCGGCGACTGACTGCCTCAGCTGGGAAAAGCACAATGATCACAATACCAACATGGGCAGTGAAGTGTCGTCCTCCACAACTAGACTGAAGAACAAAAGGACACCAAATTGTCTGTTCTCCTTCCCCGATTCCCCAGTGCTGTTCCCTTCCCCAATGCCCCAATTAAATCTTTAAAAAAACAAGAATTCTTACAACTAAACTCTTACAACAAAAGGAGAAACAGCCCAAATGAAAAATGGGCAAAGGACTTGAATAGACATTTCTCCAAAGAAAACACACAAATAACACATGAAAAGATGCTCAACATCACTAGAGATCATTAAGGAACTGCAAATAAAAACTACTAGATACCACTTCACAACCATTAGAATAGCTACTAGAAGGAAGGAAGGAAGGAAGAAAAGAAAGAAGGAAGGAAAGGAGGGAGGGAGGGAGGGAGGAAGAAACAAAGAAACAAAGAAACAAAGAAAGATCAGATACTAACAAGAGTTGGTGAGGATGAAGAGAAATTGGAACCCTAGTACATTAACGACTTGAATATAAAATGTTTCAGTCCCTGTGGAAAAGTTTCCTGGGTCCTCAAAAGCTAAACACAGAATTAACATATGATGCAGCAATTCCACTCCTGGGAATATACACGAAAGAACTGAAAACAGGTATTCAAACAGACACATGTATACGAATGTTTATAGCAGCACTGTTCACAATAGTGAGAAGGTAGAAACAACCCAAATGTCCATCGACAGATATGAATAGGTACACAAAATGTGGTTCTATCCAGATGACGGAATAATAATTTGGCCATAAAAAAAGATTGAGGTACTGATACTACAATGTGGGTGAACCTTGAAAATGTCGTACTAAGAGGAAGATGTTGAACCCCAAATGTCACATGTTATGGGATTCCGTTTATATGAAATACCCAAAATACGTGAATCCATAGGGAAGAAAGCAGGTGCGCGGAATGGGGAGGCAGAATGGGGAGGGGCCATTTTCTGGTAGGGGGTTTCCTTTGGTAGTGATACACATGTTTTGGGACTAGATAAAGGTGATGGTCGCACATCATGCATGTACGAAATGTCACTGAATTGTACACTTTAAAACAGTTAATTTTATATTATGAGAAGTTTACCTCATTAAAAAACAAAGAAAAAGGAGGCATTCCTTGATCGGGTGAGTCCCCTTCCCTCACTGCCCATTAGCACGGTGTTCCAGGCCCGCCCCCCCACAGTTCAGACGCTGCCTGGGGACTGGCCGGTCACATTTTCAACACTTGTGCTCCAGCCATACTGTCCACTCAGTGGCTCAACCCACCAGCAGTGTCATAAGTCCCTTCCCAGGCCACCTTCTCTCTGACTCCTTCATGGATGTCCAGCGATGGGCGAATCCCTCATAAGGCCCCACGAGGTCTTTTGAACCTTGCTCTGCTGTACCCCAGGTCTGGGCACATGGTTTCCAAGGCTTGTCTCATCCCAGTAAGGGGAAATCAGCATTTGCTGGGCACCATGGTATGCAGGTTTCTAGCTCAGGCACTCACAGCAACTCTATGAGACATTTTCACCTCCATGCACCAAAGAGCAGGCGTGACTCACCAACAGTCGGTCACACACACAGTCTCTGGGTGACTTCACGCTCAGGTTCCAGCCCAGAGTTGGGTGACCAGGCACCCCCTAGAGAAAGTGTGTGAGTCAAATGGACACCGTCCCGGCCACATAGGAGAGGCATCCCAGCTGTGGGGGTCACTTGTCTAATCACGCAGGTGGCCCAGGTCCCACATGAAGATGAATGAGCCACATGGATGCTGTTATAAATACACCACGCTGGGGCTCCCCAGAGGTTGGCTCCAGGAAGTGGATTAACGCTAGTATTTTTACACTGGGTTAGAGTTGAGGATGCTGGCACTTCACTTCCTTCCACACCCCTCCCGCTCTCTGGATACTAAAGATACATTCTGGGTCCTGCTTCGCCCCTGCTGACCAGAATCTGGCTCTGCTGAGGCTCTCCTCAAAACCTCGGAGGCTCCACAGGCACACAGAGGGGAAGGGGGTGCCTACCTGAGCCAGAAGGGGACTTTGTTCCGGGGGCCTGGGGCTATAAGTGCTTTTTTTTCTGCCCGGGCCACAGGGGACACTGGAGCCTCCCAGAAACTCAGCATCCAGAGAGATACAGGCCTTCTTTTTATCCTCAGAACCATCTCATCTCAGTGCTCACCAGGCAGGTGATCCCAGCCCCAGCCCAGAGTCTGGCAGCCACGTGGGACAGGGTCCTCTCCCTAAGGTACCCAGTAAGAGTGATGAGGGTTTCCTGGGAGGGAGCAACGTGCCTTGGGCCAGCGAGGAGGTGGAGATCGCTGGCAGGGGCAGGGACACTGTTATGGGTTGAATTCTGTTCCCGCAAAAATCCTATGTTGGGAGTGGCCGGTTAGCTCAGTTGGTTAGAGAGCAGTTCTGGTAACACCAAGGTTGCCGGTTTGATTCCTACGTGGGCCAGTGAGCTGCGCCCTCCACAACTAGATTGAAAACAGTGACTTGACTTGGAGCTGATGAGTCCTGGAAAAATACACTGTTCCCCAATAAAAAAATTAACAAAACAAAAATTCCTATGTTGAAGTCCTGACCCCCTAGTCCCTGTGAATGTGAACTTATATGGAAACAGGGTCTTTTTAGATGACCAAGACAAGATGAAGTCATTCAAATGAACCCCAATCCACAATGATTGTGTTGCTATAAAAAGGGGCAATTTGGACAGAGACTCCCCCACAGAGAAAACGCCGTGTGGGGATTGGAGCTATGTTGTTCTAAGCCAAGGAACTACCAGAAGCTGGAGACAGCCCTGAAACAGATTCCCCCAGCACCTTCCTGGCCCTGCTAGATGTCAGACTTCCAGCCTCCAGAACCGTGAGACAACAGATTTCTGCTGCTCTCAGCCCTCTCGTTTGTGGCACCTGGTTATGGCAGCCCCAGGAGACTGATACAGGCACCCTCTGCTCTGCCCATCACTCTCTCTTCAGACCACAGGGGAGAGGTGGAGGCAGGGCCCTTCACAGGCCAAAGCCACTGCTGGCTGGTCATTTCCAGCTTGACTATCTGGTAACTCTGGCCACAGCTCTCAGCTGCCTGGGGTCCACGGGAGGAGGAGGACAAGGAGGGGCAGGGGCTGGCCTCGCTGGAGCTGGTCACTGAGTCTCCACGGGAGCCCAGAAAGCCCAGGAAGAGCCAGACCCCTCACCCTCACACATCCTCTGGGCCCTTCTCCCATCCATTAGCAATTTGGAACAGCCACTTTATGCCTTTTAATCTCACTAGGAAAGATACCCCAGGAAGGCAACGATGACACTCAGCCTAGTCGCGACATCTCACCTGTGTCCCCGGGGCCCAGGCTGGCCCTTTAAGGGCGTGAGGGCAGAACAGGCTGTGGGGCCAATAGCCCTCTTGTCAGAGGGGCCTGGGGTCAAGCCAGAAAGCAGGGAGGGAACTGGGGGTGCGGTTGTTGGCGGGGTGCTGAGGGCAGAGGCCCCACCCCACAGGTACTAAGTGGAGAGAAGGGAAGAGGGGTCTCTTGCTTCCATCCGGACAGGACAGGTGACCGCTGCACAGGCGGCCTTCCACACAAGGGCCAGTCCCGGTCAAGGGTCAGCTCCTGAGACTTTAGTCCGTTTTCCCCACAATGGACGTGATGCAGCTGGCTGAGTCAGGGCTCTAGAACTTTCAGGACCGAGCCCACTGTCTGCCAAAGGGCAGGGGGGAGGAAAGCACCCCCAAGGTCCTCATGCCGCCTGGTCACCAGGGTCTTGCCTCTGACTGTGACCAGCTCTCACACAGCTACCTCCTTGCCAGGCGTCCAGGCTCTGCTCGTTGCAGAATGGGCCGCAGGCGAAGGCCAGAATGGGCCCAGAGCTCAGCGTGTTTCCTGGGAAAGTCAAGGGCTGGCACCCCCCATAGTAGCCCAGGGCGCAGTAGTCGCTGCTACTGCCCTCTGACTGCAGGGCAGCTAGCCTGGCGGAGCTCGCAGGGCCCCACTCCTCCTGTGGCAGATAGGCAGGTGGCGGCCCTCCCCACTCCAGGTCTGCTGGCAACACATCCGTCGGGAGGCCAGTACCAGTGCCCTCCTCCTCCTTTTCTAGGGCCACAGGTGGCCAGGCGTCCGCCGAGTCATAGGTAAGCAACGCGATGGCCTCCCGGACACTGGCCTTCGAAGCTACTTGTGGGGCGCCGACACATTCCTGGCTCAGCTGCACCCCAGCTGTGTGGGCCCCTGTCCAGGCCTGGAACAAAGCATGGGAAATCAGACAGCACATTCAGGTCTCAGCCTGGGAGCAGCTTCCCCTCCTCCTCCAGGAAGCCCTCCAGACACCCCTACCCAGAGGCCAAACAATGCTTGTGCCTAGAACAGTCTATCTTTCCTCCCCCATGTGCCAGCCCAGCTTCAGGATGGGACTCCAAATCCTTTTGGGCCCCTTCCCACTCCCCCAGCACAGGGCCTGCTGCTCACAGCACCAGGGTGCAGGTGGTGACAGGTGCAGAAGACAGAGAAAAGCCCTGACAGCTACTCAAAGCACTTTCAGCAGCTCCAGAGCTCGCCCTAACCAACACACACACACACACACACACACACACACACACACACACGACAGGAGATGCTACTGGGACTGGCACCCTTGGGTTAAGGCAGGCAGACATGGACCACTCCAGGGGCCACAGGAGACCACCCCATCCCCTAACCCTGCCTCCAAAAGGAAGCTGCTCCCTAGTGGGACCAGAAGTCTCCACCAAACACACCACACACACCACATCCTGTGTCATTACGGGCTCCCTGGAGAGCAGACCACCATCAGAGGGCTCTACATAACCCTTGGTGGGTGGTGTCATGGTTCCACAGAGAAGCGGCTAGTTGCCTGCAACCCATGTGACTCAGTCCAGGGGCAATCAAAATCTTTGTTCCAGGGGTGACCAGTTAGCTCAGTTGGTTAAAGCGTGGTTCTAATAATACCAAGATTGCTGGTTCAATCCCCACATGGGCCACTGTGAGCTGCACCCTCCTTAAAAGAGTCAACTACGCCATTGTACCATGAAAGCAATGCGTAACCAATGACCATGGCTATTCCCCAACTACAAAAAAAATCTTTGTCCCGCTCAGCCTTTGTCCCCAGTTGCCTCAGGGATCTTGTCATATCGACTACCTTGGATAAAAAGGTGGACCCCCAAGGACAAAGTGCTCAACTTTAAGCTTCAAATGATACTTTGAGACAACAATCTTGAAAACTAGGCTCCCTGTTGAGGGAGTAAAGGGCTGGGTTGAGGAAACCGTGCTTAGGAGGGGAGACCCTGAGAAGGACGGGTCGGTGCCCCCCCCCACCGGGAAGCACTGCCTCCCATCCTTTGCTCAAAGTGAGGGGTCTCAGAAAGTAGAAACTAGAGACCACTCATGGGAGCCCCTCTACTTCCCACCACTTCTCCTGCCAGGGGAGCATGAGTAAAGCTAATTTTTTTTTGTTTTGCCCATTTGAGACTCAGTGTGTAAATGCAAACCCACGATATAGACCAAAAAAGCTCAAAGCACTGAGAAAGGCCCCCACCCTCCCCCAAAGCCCACATCCTGAGCAGGCAGATATCTGGGCAACCCCTGCCCGGCACGCACGCCCCTGTCGTGGTCAGTGCACACACCTGGAAGTTCCCATTGTGCACACTGTAGAGAGGCTGGAAAAAGGCCACCGGAGAGGGCACATGCTGGTAGAAGGTTCTCTTCACCCTAAGGCCAAGGGAGGACAGTCAGAGGCCTGCCCAAAAGGGGCTCCTCCAGGGGCCCAACTCCAGAAAGAGCCGCAGGGAAGCTAGCTCTCCTCCCACCAGCAGGTAACCAGGCCTGCAGCTGCCATGCTCTCTCCTCTCAGCAGGTCCAAACCTGCTCTCAGGGCAAGACCCCCACATACACACACCTGGCACCCTGTGGTGTCCCTGGCTAATGACCCCATAGAACTGACTTATACCAAGACAAGTGTCCTTTAAAGGGTGAGCTGTGATGGTGAGCTCAAGGAGAAGAGTAACTAGCTGTTTCCCTCTGCCCACAGAGGGAGCCAGCACCTCCAGGACCCCCCCCCCCAGCAATGTCATCAGCAGACGGGGGTCAGCTCCCTGTCCCTCCTGACTTCTCCCTGAGCACAGATCTACCTGCCCTGGGCCCACGGGCCCTCCCAGGAGTCTGTGGCACAGGGGTCCAACCCAGTAGGTCTAAGTCACCCTCACCGACCTCCCCTAGGGCCCGGCCCCTCCAGTTCCCCACCTCAGGGGTGACATCAGGAGTCACTGATCGTATCTCCTCTGCCTACACATCCCCTCAGTTTCTCTTCCTGAGACCCTGGTGAGTCCCTCCACGTTGCTCTATCTCTACTTCTTTCACCAGCTCAAGCCACGACACCTGTCTCTGGACACTGACACTGGCCCCCCAGCAGGTCCTCCCATCCCCTTGTACCCCGGTAGTCCATTTTCAAAATATAAACCAGATCATACCACACACTCTTTGACAGGCTTTCCTTTGCTCCAAGGACACGCCTGGCACCCTCCTCCACCTTCTCGGCCCTCTCACTGTGCCTCCCATCCACTCCTGCCACCCTCTTGATCTCTGTCTGACCTCCTCTCATCTTCTCTACTACCTGTCTGGACCTGGCCAGTTTCCTGTGGGTCCCCCTTGACGAGGCCCTGTATCCCCTTTTGTAACCTGACATAAAAGTTCAGGCAATTAAGTTCGCAAACTTATACAGTGGAAAGTTCGTGAACTTAATTGTCTGACCTTTCGTATGTGATGGCTTATGTCAGGAGGTCCTTCTGTCCATCTGTCCTCTGAGGCATCCACCGGAGCCGGGAACAGGGTCTTGTACACACCACATGCCCCAAACTGTATTTTCATAGAACATCTTAACAAGAAAGCAAACCACCAAGCACCTCCAGAAGCTGGAGACAAGGACCTCAGGTGACTTGGTCCCAGTGACTTTGGGTCCCTCCTCAGCTGTTCAGAGTCACGACCCCCACTCCCCAAAACCTTACAACTTGGGAACTCCCAACCGGTCTGAGGCAGAGGCTTGAAAACTCCACCCATCCAGGACCAGATATTGGCGGGGGACGGGGCATGGGGGAGGGGCTGCTGGTTTGGTTCTCCATGCCCCCGCACCTCACACCGGCACATGCACACACACGGACACACATCTACATCCACTGCATGCACAAATGCTCACACACACACATTAACACATGCACATACCCACACACACCTCCCTTGGCTACTGACCTGGGCAACAGCTTGAACAGGAGGTAGGTCAGGCAGCTCAGCAGGAGGAAGGTGGACACAGCGACTAGGGTGCTGTTGGGGTGCCCCAAGGGTGGGGTCAGGGCGCCTGTGAGCAGGAAGGGCCCAGAGCTGTGAGCAGCCTCAGCACCAAGATTTCTCCCAAACCCACATGGCAAAGGCACACCCATGAGTGCCACGGGCCTACATGGGAAGTTTGTGATAGGCCTTGAAGGTCTGCGTCATGCCTGGAAAGCATGTTGGGTGAATCACACACCCCAAGCCTCATCCTTCCCACCTGGAGGTCTTCAGGGTCAAGGCCTTCCCAGCACCTCTGTGCACAAGGGTCGGCCCAGCCCTTCCTTCCTAAGTGACACAGCCTTGTGTGCAGCCCCGGGCCACACTCACTCGCAGCCATAGCCGCTAACAGCCAGTTCCTGGAAAGCCCAAGTCTGGTGGCTGTTCGTTTCCTCCATACACACCTCAGACCTCCAGGGCAGGGTGGTCAGCTGGACATGGCTGCCTGGAGGAGGGGTCCCAGGAAGGGAAAAGGGCGGGAGTTGACTCCCAAAGAGCAGCAGCCAAGCAGGGCCCACCTGGTCTCTGGGGGGAGGGGCAGCTCACGGACTGGCTCCATTCGCTCCACTGGCCCTCGTAGCGTTCCTCCTCCATGAAGACATCGTCTAGGGTGGCCATCTGGACACGCAGCCTGGCCTCATAGATGGAACCAGGGTCCAACTCGACAGCTTCAAGGAGGAGCCAGGTCACCCCAGCGATGTGATCCTTGTGCCGGGCCTGCTGTGGAGTGGGGAGAGGTTGTGCCGCTGAGGGAGAGGTCCTCGAGGACATACAGACACACACAGAGGCACATGTGGGCACATTTACACACAGATACACACACATACCCACAGGCACGCATTTACAATCATCTACCTGCGTGTACAGCCGTACACGTGAAACACAGGCATACGCACCAGGCCTACACACACAGGCACACTTGCATACAGACACACCTGTGTGCACACATACAAACACACCTGTGCATGTTTACACACACGTACTCTTGGCTCTAGTCACCTCCCTTTCTCATAATTCCAAGTCAACATCCTGTGTAGGATGAGGAGTGGCCCTGGGCGGCCGCCCCCAGGAGAGAACGAGGCCCCAAGTAGCAGCCCAAGCCTTACCTCCCAAGCCTGGTCCTGCCTCTTGAAAGCCAGCTCATAGCTGAGCAGCGAGGCCAGCGGCTCCAAGGCAGGACCGACACTCCAGGACAGGACGCAGGCGTCAGAGCTGACATTGCTTTGCAGGTCAGACGGAGGGTCCAGCTTCACTGAAAGAACAAGGCCACGTGAGGGTGTGTCTGTCAGCATGCCCAGGACCGCGGGGTCAGCCATGTTCAAGGCCATCTCTGACCCAGGGCCTCCCTGGGAGACTGGTCCAGAGAAGCCCCATGTGGAACAGGACAGCAATGACTTCTTCCAGCCCCTACAGGTAGACAAGGTGGTTCCCAAAGCTTCTTCCCAGTCTCACTGGGGTCCCTTGTGGGGTCCTGAAGTGCATTTCAAGGGACTCAAGTTGCAATCCCAGCCCCAACTCAAAGCACTGCATCTTCATCGAACAAAACCCAACCCCTCCGGTAACTATGGGCCCTCCCCTCCCAAGCCCAGCCTGCTCCTAGCCCTGGGTTTCTCTTGGCAGGGACCAAGCACACTCACTAGACATGAGGATTACAGGCTGCAGGGCCCCGCCCCCAATCCCCACACAGCCAGGATGTTTGGGCCAAGACCAAGGCACCCACCCCAGGCCTTAATCTTACCATGTCTCCGGGGCAGGTACTGGGGGTCCACCAGGCTGACCTGCTCCTTCCCGGAGACGTGACGGTGCAACGTGATGGTGAAGTTGTCAAAAGGCGTAATCACCTCATCTTGTGGCAGCACCACAGTGCACGTCCTGGCCCAGAAAACACACCTGTGCTTGGTGTCTGGTGCCTGGTTGCTGCAAAGGGCATGTGTCGGCACCAAGAAGCTGTTGCACCAGCCCGGCCCCTGCTGCTGCCATCATGGGGACCCTATCCTCACCCCTGCCCCCCCTGCCCCATCCCCTGCCCAGGTGGACCTGGCCCTCCAGCCTCACCTGGTGAAGAGGAGCCAGGGGCTGGGGCCCCGGCCCAGCTCTGGAGCAGACCAGTGGCAATCAATCCTGAGGATGTTGTTGGTGAGGCAGGTGAGAGTTCCAGCCCTGAGCCCTGGGAACAGTGATGGTTGGGAGCCCACAGTGGCTGCTTCAGGGCAGGGCTGGGAAAGGGGAGGATCTGGCGGCTGGTGCCCTGGCAGGGCAGTGCCCAGAGAGCGATACCAGGAAAATGCATCGAGGGCAGGGCTGAGAGACCTGGCAGGGAATGGGCTCTGACCATGCTACACGGATGGGACTGGAGTCCAGGCTGGTCCCTGGAGGACAGGCCCTAGCACAGTTTGGGCCAAATGGTCCCCCGTGAAGTTTGATGGAGGACAGCCCTGTCCCTGAAGCACTCCCTACCCACCTCCCACGGTCACGAGTGCCCTCACCTTCTCCGTCCTCTGGCACCGAGACTCCCACGCCGACCCAGGTGCAGACCAGGAGCCAGACACCCAACCTGCGCATCAGGGCCTCACTCTCCAAGGTCCAACCTACAAGGAACAGGGCCGAGGGGCTGTGTGTGAGGGGCACCCCCATGGGGTGCTCCCCATGAGATCCGCCCTGTGAAGGGTGCCCCCGCCACAGAGGGCTCTGAGAGGGTCACCACCACACAGTCACTGTGTCCTGTGAAAGAGGTGGGGCACCACTGTCCAAGCTGCACGTGAAGCTCAGAAAGGTCAGTGGACCTGACAGAGGCTCGTGGCTACAGCGTACAAGAGGGCGCCATCAAACTCAGCTCTCCACATGGGTTCTGGGCTCTGCATCAGCTACGTGTCTGAGTCTGCCCAAAAGGCTCCTGTCTGGGACTGCTGTCCTCTGCCAGCCCAGCCCCCCATGTCTGGGCCCAGGGCCCATCCTGCAGGGGAGGCAGGTATGGCTGACAACAACCACGGGTGAGATTTACTGAACTCTTTGGTGTCGCCATGTGTAACATGCAGTATCCACGGGAATTCCTGTATCACTTGGGAGGTAGAAAGACCATCCCTTTTCACAGACCAGGGAGCTGAGTCCCAAAGGGAAGCGCCTTGCCTAGAGTCACCCAGCCAACTTCTACGTAGCCTCTATCCTTTCTGTCTCCTTCCATGAAGACCTCTCCCAGAGTTCTGCTCCAAGATGTAGCAGTGGGGTATCCATGCAACAGAAGAATGTCCTCAATTCTGTCTGTCACACCCCTGTGCAGAGGGGCTAGCCCATGCCCCAGGACCCCTGGGGGAGCCAGAGGTTAGCTGGAGATAAGGGGCTACATGTTAGGAAGTGCCTGGGTGCCGAGTGGAGAGGCTGCCGACGCCCTATCACCCCATTTGCAGCTCCAGATGGTACACTGATAGCTCCTAAGCAGGAAGCAGGGCCAGCCTGGTTATGCAAGCCTGATGAGTGATAAGGAGGCAGAAAGATGCAGACATACACACAGACCTCAGCACACACTCTCCACACAGCAGACACCACTACGACCCCACCCCCAACCCCTCGCAGACTATGTACCCACAGGATGGACACATTATGATCAACGATCAGGAAGACCTCACCCTTCCCGAGAGTGGAGCACCACCTGGCACCACCAGCCACAGCATCAGCCCCGCCGCGTCTGTCCCCTCCTGCAGCAGTTACTAGCTAGAGATGGGGGAGCAGCCTGACAACAGGGCAAGTGGGGACAGGACAGTGAGGACAGGGGTCCAGGACCTGGAGGAGCTCAGGCACAGCAGCCGCTTTTCAGCTAAGAGGCTGGACCCAGGCCCCGGGGTGGACGGTGAATGGCCACTGCCCCAGCGCTGGACGGTGCAGGCCAACCCAGGAGCAGATGGCTTGAGAGCATGGAATGGGGTGGCCCCAAGCTCAGCAGGCCTCCGGGGCTGGGCTCCACCCTTGTGGGGGGGGGCATCGGAGAGTTGGGCAGGGTCGTCTTGAGGGGATGGTCCCCGCTTTCCTCTGCAGAAAACACTTCTGTCTCTATCTAGTGAACTGGGTAGGGCAAGGCCACCACCCTTCTACAGATGAGGAAACTGAGGTGAGAGGGACCAGGGACTTGCCCGATCCTTGGCACCTGTCACCTCTGTCCTTGGCACATTGGCTCATTGGCTCCCACACAAGCCTGCGAGCTGCGTGGATCCCCACGGGGCATCCCTGTTCTCTCTCTTTAGGGCTCCTCAAGTGCAAGGAGGGACATTACTCAAGTAGAGCCACCCCATCCTTGACAACCCCCACCTGCCTACTCCCAGGTCCTGAAAGAGACACTGGGATGACACCAGGGAGGTCTAATCGCTGCTCAGACAATAATGCCCCGTCTCAGGATGGCTAAGAGTGCAGGAGGAGGGGACAGCAGTGTCTGCTCCCGTGGGTACACTTCCAGTCGTGCTGGGGGACCTGGCGGACGTTACTACCAGCACTGCCCCTCCCCCATCGGGTCTGTGGACATGGCCTTCAGCCCACAGCCGCTCTGGGCCCTTCTCCAAACCCCATTTCTTCCATGGCCTCGGTGTCGAGGTCAGCTTGTCTGCTGTGGCTCCCTGGCCTGTCACGAAGTCATGGCTGCCTTGCTGCCGTATCCCTCCCACAGGACCCACAAATGCTGTCAGACCAGGAGCTGGTCTCTAGACACATTCACCCTCCCTGGTCTTCACGCCCTGAGCACTCACCTGATGCCAGGTGGAATCCCAGGCCAGAGCAGGCCTGGCATGGGGGCTAGCAGGGCAGCCCGCCCACTGAGTCGGCTTCACACCAATTACTACATTCATTTACTGTCTCCTTTTACAGTCTTTTTTATATTTTTCATGGGGAGGGGGTGATAGTCCCTGTCATTCTCCCCACCCACCGAAGAAGCTGGCAGACACAGAGGTGGATGGGGCGGAGGTTGCTAATTAAATGGACACTATTTCTGTCTTCTCTCTGCTGGTGGAGGAGGAATAAATCCAGACCCTGGATCCCCAGAAACATCTAGAACCTGGGGGACATGGGGACTGGGCTAGGAAATGGTAGCAGAAGCCAGCTCCCCCTTTGGGCCCCACAAGCGCACATGGGCCACCCCTGGCACCCATGGGAGCCACAAATGCTGTTGGGCAGAAAGTGCTTGAGGATGCGATGCTGTCTATGGGGGATGCTAACAGTGGGCGGGGAAGGGCAGGGAGAGGAGGGACCAGGCAGGAATCCCAGCTGGGGCGGATCCAGAGAGGGTGCAGAGAAAGCTGGGGAGAGGGGGCGGCACCAAGGGCAGCTTTCTGAGAGTAGAGCAGGAGGGACAGCTCCATCTGGGGGTCACATGTCTGGGAACACGGGTACACCAGGCAGGAACTGTGACAGAGGTGAGGGCTGAATCCAGAGGGGCCTGGGGTGGACAAGGGCACGCATGGAGGGAGGGAACTCGGGGGAGGAGGCGGAAGAGGGCTCAGGGTGGAAGGCAAAGGAACAGAGACAGGGAGCTCACAGGGGTCCCTGCTGGTTGGCTCACAACCCTGCGCTCCCTCAAGGTCACCTCCTGGCCCCTGTCACACTGTCCCCTGGGCTTCTTCCTTCAGGAAGCACCCCCACCCCACCCCACCCCACCCCCACTGTCTATCTCCCCAGCCAAACAACATGAGCAGGGAGCAGGTAGTGGCTATGGCTTAAGGGCTAGAATGAGGGTGCTGACAGCTCTCTTTGGGAGGCCTGGAGGTTAAATGGGGAGACACAGTGCCCCTCCTCTGCCAGCATCCTTCTCCAGTAGCCCTCGCTGCCCTTTTGCAGCCTCCCGGTACCAGGCTCCCCCAGGGCGAGAACCTGTCTGATTCATGGTGTGCCTCCTGCCCGCACCGTTTCAGAAACACATCCTGAACCTCCCTGCAGACGCTGACCTTGCTCCTGGCTGGTATGAGGGCTTTGGGTACCTGGGAGGGGAGCTCTGGGACATTTACTAGAACATGAACCCTCCCCACCCTGTCCTCTGCTGGGCCAAGTAGACCCTCCTTCTGGAATTCCACCCTCACCTGCTGTCACACCCACAGCTCCAGTGGGGGGCTCCCCAGACCCCTTTCTGCCCTCAAGTCCCCAAAGGCATGGGGGTTTGGAGGGACTTTGCCAACCCCAGGGCCTGGCAGACCTCATCTCCACTCGTGACCATCACAGCTGAGGCCACCTCGCCCTAGAACACTCATCCCACCAAGGGCCAGCTCAGTCATCAAGGAAGCAAAGTCTCTCCCATCATTAGAAACTCTGCCTGACCAACGCAGCGCCCTCCCCTCTGCCCAGTGGCACTCACGACCCCTACAGGCCTGGCAATCACAGTCTGTCATCCTATGGTCAGCAGTGCCAACCGGCTGTCTTTAGGAGATGCCCAAGGCCAGGGCGCCAAAGGAGGTAAAAGTAAGGTGGTGCCCCCAGACACCCACTTCCAGGGTTCATCCGCAGGCTCTTTCTGGGGCCCGGGGAGGTAGGCTGCCTACTCTTTCTCTGCCTCTGAAATTTGTGCTGACTCAAGCAGGTGGGAAGTTCCCATTACAGACTCACCTTCCCAGATGCATCTGCTGGGTCCCATGGCAAGGACTGTCCCCGTGCTCACAGCCAAGCCCCTTAGCCAGATGAGGAGATAACGGCAGCAACCAGTGACGTGGGCCTCGCTCGGCAGGCTGACACAGGCCGCCCACATCTGAAACCACGAGTGTGCAGAGCTGAGCAGGGCTGAGCCCCAAGCGGGGCTGCGAGGTGGCTGTCACCACCAATCATCAACCCGGGAATTCTGAGGTGGGACGACCTTTCATTGCCCATGACCCTGAAGGTTGCCAAACGTGGACTTTGGTGACTCATCCATTGATTGACTACAGATGAGCGGCTGCTGTATGCCTCCTAAAGAGTACCACCTAGATGAATTAAATTAGTCCCGGGAGGCTGGGACCCTGACCAGGCACAGAGCAAGTGGGCTTTGTCCCCTTCTAGGCTTTTCTGAGACCAGGGGTGCAGATTCTCCATCCTCCAGCTAAGGCAGTCTGTGAGCATCAGGGATGGAGAGGGTGTTAAACATACTATAGTCTCAGTTAAAGAAAACACAATACAGAAGGAAATAAAAAAATGGGAATCCCCTTTTATCTCACCCCAGAGGGAGCCCCTGAGAAGGTACACACATGTCCCTCTAGACAATTTCTAAGCTCAAACAAATGCACACTTTGGGGGGGGGCGGTAACAGTGTGTTTTTTCCAGGACCCACCAGCTCCAAGTCAAGTCGTTGTTTTCAATCTAGTTGTGGAGGGTGCAGCTCAGTTGCCCATGAGGAAATCAAACCGGCAACCTTGTTGTTCAGAGCATGCGTTCTAACCAACTGAGCCACCCGGCTGCCCTACAAATGCACATTTTTTAAAATAATTTTTACCTGTTTTGTTTTGTTTTTTAAATGCACATTTTTAATGGATACTGTGCTGTGAGTTTCACAGCCTCCTTGTTCTGTTCCTCTGCCTATTTTCAATACCTTCCTAGGTCAGGACATAAAAACCTACCTCATGCGCTTAATAGTAGTACGTGCTATGGTTTCATAATCCTGCAGTGCCCATTTGGATTATTGCCTATATACAGAGGGTGCCAAAAAAACGTATACACATTTTAAGAAAGGAAAAAACTGTATTAAAATTGTAATACTCAATATATACCGATAATGAAAGATGAATACAAGTCATGTGTATACACTTTTTTGGCACCCCCGGTATAAGCTATTTTAATTTTTTATTGAGATATAATTGACATATAACATTGTATTTGTTTCAGATGTCTATATGCTCTTTTAAATGAAGGTAGCGGACAATTCTGGACATGGATCTTTAATCACCAAAATGAGTACTTCTGTACAAAAAAATTGCTCGGGGTGGAATGATGGCATCTTAAGTGTCAGCATTTTAAAATTTTGATAGATACTGCCAAGTGGCCCTCCAAAAATGTACCAACTTCTACTCCCACCAGAAGGGTAAGAATGTCTGTAACCCTCACCAACAGCATACATTATCAGTCTTTTTCTTCTTTGCCAGTCCAATAGACAAAAGATATTTTGATGTTGTTTTAATTTGCCCTTGGTTGATTATTAGTGAAGATAAGCATGTTTTCATACTTACTGGCTTTATGTTCTTCACGGTACCAAATAAGTCACACTTCAATGTGCACACATGTCTTTTATGTATGTGTGTGAGTACCTGTGTGCACATGTGTGCATTTGTGTGTTCTACGCATCAAACATCTAGGGCAAGGTTTGGCTACTGCAGAGCTGTAGCTCTCTGGAGTGTGAGAATACCAGGACCCACAGAGATGGAATCAAAGGCTCAAGCCAGAGGGGCCAGCCGAGTGGCGTGTTGGTTAAGAACTGGCTTGGGACGCCAGAGGGCCCCAGTTCAGATCCCACATATGAGGGCCAGTGACACTGCCCTCTACAGCTAAGATGCTGAACAACAGCTCAACCTGGAGCTGGGTTGCTGTGAGACGGCGTAGGCTGCAGCCCCTGCTGCAGTGGGTTGCCATGGGCTACCGTATGTAGCCAGTAGCCAGCAGCCAGCAGCCAGCGTGAGCGGCCAGCAGACGCCATAAGCAGCTGTCCAGAAGCCGGTGACCGATCTGCCTCACCCGGGAAGAGCGCAATGATGGTGCCAACTTGGGCCAGTGAAGCAACGTCCTCCACAACTAGACTGAAGAACAGAAGAACAGCAACTTGTCTGTTCCCCATCCCCCAATTCCCCAGCGCTGTTCCCATACCCCAAATCCCCAATAAAAATCTTTAAAAAAAAAAAAAGGCTCAAGCCAGGAAACACCTTAGGAATGAGCAGGGACATAATCCTATTTCTTTCTAATATTTAAATTTCAATCAACTTGGCCCCTATCTTATCTACTACAAGTACATCCTTTTATACTCCCTGGAGCCATCCCTTCTCTAGTACCTTTATCAAGAGAGCCTCCTTCTGTCTGTCAGGGTCCCTCCCACTTGGCAGAAGCTAGAATTTACTAACTTAAGACCACAACACCCACAACACCATGATCCCACAAGGGGAGATCACAAGACAGGAAAGGGAAGAAATCGTGGAAAGAAAAAAGCCAGGGAGGAGAGCCCCCAATTCTACATCTAAATTTTACAATATCTCTGGCTGGTCCCGAAACCACATGTGTGCAGGCCAACTCCAAGCAGCCCAGCCCAGGAAGGTTCAAGAACCTGAACAGAGGTTTCAGCTGCTGCCCACATCAAAGACAGAGTTTATGGCCTGTTTAAAAAAACAAACAGGGCTGGCCAAGTGGCTCAGTTGGTTAAGAGTTGGCTTAAGAGCATAAGCTCTGAGCAACAGGGCTGCCTGTTCGATTCCCACATGGGCCAGTGATGCTGCGCCCAAGCTGAGCTGTCGCTGAGCTGCCAACGGGTGGCAGGGTGGCTTAGCTGGTGTAACAAATTGCCGGTTCGATGGTGGGCTGCACCCACCCGCAACTAAGACTGAACTTGGCACCTTGAGCTGAGCTGCCGCCAGGATGGCTCAGTGGATAGGGCATGCACTCTTAACAACAAGGCTGCTAGTTCGACTCCCGCATGGGATGGTGGCTATGCCCACCCGCAACTAAGATTGAACACAGCAACTTGAGCTTAGAGGCCACAAGCTGCCAACAGGAAGCCAGATGGCGACTGGCGCCCTCCACAACAAAGACTGAAGAACAACAACTTGGCTGGTCCCCTTCCCCAATTCCCCAACACTGTTCCCCTCCCNGCTCCCAGATGGGAGTCCACTCTGGGGAACAAGGGAACAGACACGGACACAGCTGGCCAGCTGCGCCCTAGTCCCTCCAGCGGTGCCCACACTGTGCATTGCAGCACTTGTAGAAGGTCGTCATTGGCTCGTCTGCAGAGCGGGTCTGAAGCTGCATGAAATAGGCACGAGGATGTTCGCATTTGGGACACTGCTCTGGAAACGAGAAAAAGAAATAAGTGGTCCACGTTATTTAACACATGAGGCTCGTGACCAGCATACGTGCTTGAAGCAAATGTTATGTAAAAGGCAGCAGAGCCCCTCCCTGGCTCACCTGGTGACCCTGTACCGTGATTAAAGGCTACAAACGGTGATCTCATTCCCAATGAGCTCTCACACTGAGGGGATCCAGGAGAGCTTGGAAACACCCCCTCCTCACCTCCTGGGTCCCTTTTTTTTTTTCTCAAACCTGGTGGAAGACTCGTTGGAAACATAACATGGCTGCTGCGTGAATTACGGGGCCCACGCCACGTAGATTCCCCCTAACAAGTTCATCTCCATCATCTGGGCAGCGAAGATGCCCTCTCTTCTTCCCAGGAGCTCCCAAGGGCTGACCAATCCACTTCCCCGCGTATTGAGGGGTCTATTTGGTAGTAGTTCCTCAGGCTGTTCTTATCAAGATCTCACCACACATCCCGGATCTTTTCCAAGTGCCCCGGGACACACATTTACCTTCAAAGGTATTTACTTTGAAAAACTAACCCTGCTCTTGACAGGGTTCAAACACTCTCAAACACCATTTTGGACATTAGGGGCGTAACTTATCTTTTAATGACAAATTCTGCCATTGCTAAATTTTTAACATAGCAGACCTGGATACTGGTCTAGAGGGGGAGAGAGATGGTACTAATCTGACTTCCCTCTTCTTCCTCTCAATGCAGGTTGTGTAGGGCTCTGCTCTGTCCTCCCCTGGTTACATCTATCTCTACTAAAAATGAATCAAGACTTGAAAAAAACATTTATTCTACTGAGACTGCAGTTGAATGCTCTCTTCACGTAAGTATATCACAGGCTGACATGGAGCAGCAGCATTGGCAGCTTCATACTTATCCACAGCTCAGTAACTAAACGTTTCCCCTCTCACCCGCAGTAGAGTCAACATTCTCCCAAGCAGCTGCTCCACCAAGCACGTCATCCACTTCTTTGAGCTTCGGGTACTTCCGATTGGTTACCTAACGAACAACAGCAAGCCTTCAGACTCTCCGAGTTGGTGAACAGTACAACCCCGGGCCACCAAACCACACCTCCACACCTGCCATCAGGTGTCTCTCCAGGCTTTCTTCCTCCTCAGCCTGGAGGGATACTAAGTGAAAAACCAGTGTTGCCGCCAACACAAAGCAGGATGCTCCATTGGAATTTAGAAAACCTATGACTGGGATGCCCCGCAAGAGGAGAGAAACATTCAGCAGTCAGAGAAGATCTCTGCAAAGACTGGATGAAACACCAGAGCAGGAAGAAAAAAATGGCTTAGGTGTGACCCTCCTCTACGCCCAGACCGCTAAGACACTACCGGATAACCCAAGATGACAGAAACAAATATACCTGAAGCCGAAGAGTACCACTTAGCTAGGTAGCCCAGCCACTCCCCCACAGGCAGACAGCTTTCAAAGTACTTGGTTTCTTTCCCAGGTTTTACCAGACATCCTTGAAATGTCAGGGTTACATAGGAGTTCACTCTTCTCATAGTTCTAGGCCTTAAACTCCCACAACACAGCAATACAGCATAGTATACAAACATTAAAATCGAGGTAGTGGGGTGGCCGGTTAGCTCAGGTGGTTAGAGCGCAGGGCTCATAACACCAAGGTTGCAGGTTCGATTCCCACACAGGCCAAGGAGCTGTGCCCTCCACAACTAAATTAAAAACTACTTGACTTGGAGCTGA